CATGTGACTGAGAAGCGCGTGAGAAATCCTTGAGGAACTTTTATCTATCCTTCCAGCTCAGCAAACAGCAGGTGCTCAATAAATATTTGTCAAATAAACAGAGCGTGTGGGGAAACAGGGTAACTAATGAGAGGCACTCGGTGCTTTTGGGATTTCCCGGCTCACAGCACGCCTCTCTCCTGTCTCACAGGTCACCTTCCTGTCGAGGGGCCTGGCCTCAAACCCTGCACCCCATGTCTGAGGTCCAGCTGCAGGGTCATAAGCAGTCACCAGCTCCCTGCCAAGTGGGCTGGGACAATGTTGGTGGCAGGTGGCCGTTGGAGTGACAGGTGTCGCAGGTCTCAGAGCTCGGGAGACAGGTTTATCGGGCTCCCTCCCACTCTGTATCCAGCCAGTGGGTTACCAGGTCGCACGAGCCAGTAGAGGTCAACCTCAAGCCTGGTCCATCCTTTCTGCTGTTCCAGGGCACGCAGAGGCCCACAATCCCTGCCTCACCGAACTCTGCTGCTCTCCCCTGGCCAGTGCTTGGACAGGAATGATGACAAGCATTGGACCCGCTGGCCAAGTGCCCCATGAAGCCAGCTCTGCAATCTGTCCCAAGTCCTTCCCTCCACCCGCTCGGGACCGTGCCTTTTCATAGAAGGACTTCAAGGAAGATTCCAGAAGGTTCTCTTCTGAAACACAGGAGGACCCTGCTTGGCTCCAGCAACATCCAGCACCGCTCAAAAAATGTGCCGCGCCTTCCCAGGGACAAACATCCATGCTACAAAAGCCAGAAGCCAGGGGACTCCAGAGGGCCCAGACGACCCCTTCCTCAGAGTGTCCGTGACCTCCGCCCACACTACTCCTCTACTCTTCATCTACGGCTCTGGCCAGAGCTCCCTTGCAGCCAAGGTCTGACTCCCTGGCCACACCATTCTGGAAACATGAGAAGCCTGGCTCTGCCCACCCATCCCCTCCTCTGCTGTGACCTCTCTCACGCACCCACGGGGCTCTCCCGAATGCCTCTCTGTCCCCGACCAGCAGGCACAGCGACCTGCCTGCCTGTCAGGAGAACACTGCTGGACCCACCCTCAGACTGGTTCACAATGAGGGTGGCGAGCTTCACCTCCGGTCAGCCCCGGGAAACTCACGCTGTTCAGGGCTTGGCAGGAGGCTCCTCCCAGGGCTGCGCTGGGAGAGTGGGTTTTCTAGAGGGTTGGAGTCAGCCTTCGGTCAGTGCCACCCAGTGACCCTATACCTTACACCATTCTGGGCTTCCTCGCTGACCACTGACAGTGGAGCAGACAGCAGGGCCCAGGGGGTGTGGAGGCCCCAGGAGCAGCTCCCGAAGTCATCCACGCTGCCCGGGAGCCTCGGCTGGGCCTAGGGACACCCACTTCCGGAAGCAGAAGATGTGGAGGAGAGAGAATCTCAGAACCGGGGGAATCACTGACAGCTCGAGTCTTCAGTTAGGTGGGCGGCAAGGAAGGAGGGGACAGAGGCAGGCGGCACAGGCAGGGCCAGGGCCTCCACACCAGGAGGCTAAAGGGAGGAGCTGGGGAAAGTCGAGAGCAGACCCCACCCTGATCCTACTGGGGACTCCCAGAGAAGGCCACCTGCTCTGGAGAGCAGTCCCCCACCCTGATCCTACTGGGGACTCCCAGAGAAGGTCTCCTGCTCTGCTGTCCACCCCAACCCAGGGAACCCTATCCCACAATCCTGGGACCCCACCCCACCCCCTCCTGGGCCAAAATAGTCAGAAAAGTGGGGGCTCTGTGACCCCTGCTTGGCCTCACAGGACACAGAGGGGACCCCTGGGTTTAGTGATAGTCGGGGTCAATTGAAAGCCTGGCTTGGGGAGTTAGAATAAGCCACTTCAGTGAAGGTGAAGTGACCCCAAAGCCAAGACCAGTGGACATCCAGTCAGACCCCAAGGCACCTGCAGGGCCCCAGGAATCTACCAGGGAGGGTGGCTGAGCTCCACCGACTGCAGACACGAATTCTGCCACAAACCCAGGTGCAGGATGAGATGGACCTTGGCCCCTAGCAGCCTGGACCACCCAGGGGAGGCCAGCCTCACACCTGGAGGCCAGCCACTCCCCCCAGAGGGGGCAGGGAGAGGAGGGGGGCAGGGAGAGGAGGTCTTGATGCCAACCGTGTGTAGCATGGCACTGAAGCAACCTCAGGAGGAACAGAGGCCTCCTCCCACTTGCCATCGGGCGCGACGTGGAAGTCGGTGGCCTCAAGCCACTCACAGAGGCTCCACGGAAGTTGAAGAATGAAGGAAGGCCAGAGAAGGTTCTCTCTAAAGCTCTCGGCTCTGCTCCTCCCTAGAAGCAAGGCTGCGGGGCAGAGTCCTGGGACCTGTCTGTGAGACAGACGCTGAAGGAACCTGGGCAAAGGGGGGGCCACCGCACACCTGTCCTGCACCCTCGTGGGGACCCGAGTGGCCTGCTGTCCCCCAGGCTGTTGGCCCTGTGCTGAGCTGTGTGGAGGGGACTAGTGCTGCCACTGGTGAGGACAGAGGCCTCTGCCTCCCCACTGTGTGCAAGAAGAGTCCTGCCACGGCCCAGAGGCACAGGGAGGAGACTGGTGAGCAGTCAGTCACGGGCCCTGGAGACCAGCCCTGCCAGAGGTGAGCGCAGCCGCACTAGCAGCCTCTTGCCCTCCTGAGTACAGCGACCAGTGCCTGAGGCCAGGCAGCCCTGGGGAGGGCAGGAGCAGGCAGCCCGTTAGGGGTTCCCAGGAGGAGACTCCGGTGTCCCAACTCAAGGAGGGATCAGGCGTATCCACAGCCTGGGGAGGGCAGCTGGGGCAGGGGGCAACTCACTCACTGCACCTGTCACCCACTGCTTGACTTAGAAATTGGAGTTCCAGCGGATGCCCCCATGGGGTCCTATGATGACCCCGTAGTCATCAATGGCCAGGCTCTCAATTCAGTGAAGACCTCGTCCCTTCCGGCATACCAATCTGATTCCTGGGTCTAATCTACCGCATTTAAAGAAACCAAGAATAAAACGAATGTGCACTGATGAGCTTGAGGTGCCTGGTTCAGAGAGTGCACATGAGACGACCCCATCTGCCATCCCAAACTCACGGCAAGTCCACTGCTCTTGAAAACAGTCACCAGCTGCACAGAGATAGCCCCAGTGCTGACCTCTGCAGAGCCCCCTCCACATTCACAAGTTCTGGGTTAGGACGTGAATATGTCTTCTTGGGGGGATATAATTTGACCCATAATACTGTCCCTTCCCAGGGCAGCCTACACCCAATGAGGCCGACACAGGTGTGAAGGCTGGAGCATGTCATTGGAGGGGCTGTCCAGTCCTGGAAGGACAGGGCTCTCCACCCTATCCACTGGCTTTCCCGCTCACCTCCAGCAGAAGAGCTCTCCACCCACCACCAAACGACTCCCAACATGACTCTGTCTCCAAGTGACTTCCCTGGGGACCAAGGCTGCATCATTAACTCACCCTTTGTGGGGACACAGGCCATGCAGGCAGGTCACTGGAAATCTAAGAGCACACACATAAGGCCTCCAGATCAGAGCCTCCCTTCAGCCTCCGGAGTGAGGGCGCACACTCCAGAAAGTTCCAGAAACTACCCTGAGTAGGCACCTGGATTCCGTTCAGAAGCAGACAGAACCGCTCCTGCGGTCACACCCTCCCCGTCAGGTGACGCTCCCGGTCTGCAACCCTGGTCTGGCCAGCCCTTGGCTGGTATCCATTGTCTGTCCATTTCTTCATGCAAGAGCCATTTGTTGGGCCTCTGCTGTGCATCATGCTAGGTGTCAAGGGCACACGGGGGTCGGGTTCCTGCCCTCGAGGAGCCCAAACACAGCCGAGGAGAAAGGCGGGCGAGCAAGTGTCTATGACACAGAGTGACAGGTGTGGGAGAGGAAGCGGGGGCTTCAGGGGGAGTCCAGGGAAAGGGACTCAAACCCAGAGGGAAGGGGGGACAGGAAGGCTCCCCAGAGACCCCGAGGGAAGAGGACACGCAGACACTCCTGGCATCTGGAGTGACAACGCTGTGTGGCTGGGGGGCGCCTCAGTCTGTCTTCTGCTGCTGTGACAGACAGCACAGCCCGGGAAACTCAAATAGAAGTTGGCGGCCACGTTCTGGGAAGGCCCAGACGGAGACTCTGGAGCTGAGCGGTAACAGGGCCCGGGGCCTCGCGAGGCAACAGGAGAAGAGGAAGCCGAGATCCCCCGTAGAACACAGCTCTCACTGTGACCATGGACCCCTCCTGAGGCCAGAGCCCCCACCACCTGGCGCCTCCTGAGGGCCCCCCTCAGCACTGTCAGCTGGGGACTCAGTTCCCAGCACGTGGGGTCTGGGAAACACCGTGGAACCGCAGCAGGTGGAGAGGGCAGAGGCCACGAGGAAGGTCCACGCCCCACACGGAGGCGCTGGGGCTGAGCTCAGTCCATGGCGCAGGGACACTGGGGACAGAGGGCCGAGGAGGCCAAGGCGCTGTGCGGAGAGGGATGAACGTGCCTGGGGACAGAGACCAGGACCAGGGCGCAGCGCTCCCACCGCACAGAACAGCGCGGCTCCGCAGAGGCCTGGCAGCCCTGTGTCCCTCCCAGCCAGTGAAGCCACCACCACAAGCCCAGAAAGGACCGCTGCCTCGAGACACCGGAGCCTCGCGAGCTCCGCAGTCTGCAAACACATCCCCGCGGGCAGCTCTCCCCAGGGACGGAGGCAACGCGCTGCAGATTGTCAGTCACTCGGCGCGGAGTTTGGCATCTGCCTCTCACAGCTGCCCGCATTCCCAGCTAAAATATTAAAAGAAATATTTTTGTGTTACAGTCTCTGCTGTGCCAGAATCTTGCTGTGCATTTGTGACAATTTTATGGGCTCCTCCGAAGGCTGAGGGAGCACTGCAGAGGGGAAGGACAAAGGTGGCGTTCCCAGTTCACAAATCAGCAGCCACACTGCGCTGGGAGGGGCTTCCTGTCCTGGCAACCCATCACCACGGCACCTTCACAGTCAGAAGAGTGGGCAGGAGTGCTCGCTTGCTCTTGGCAGCACAGACACTAAAATTGGAACCATACAGCGAAGATTGCCATGGCCCCTGTGCAAGGGTGACCCGCAAATTCGAGAAGCATTCCATATTTTGAGCAAACCTTTGGAAGGTCATTTCACCATTGTATATTCTAAGAAAATAGACTCAAGTTACACTGGATAGCACCCAATATTGAAATGTAACTTTCATACAAAAAAAAAAAAGTGGGCACGAGTCTCAACACTGACAGAACAGTGGCGATGTCAATGGCTTTGTGGTCCCTGAGCCCATGCAGGATAGAAACCAAACACAGCTAACAAGGGCATGACGACAGAGCCATGGATTGCGCTGATTCATGCAGCAGGGTGGCTACCCACAGGAGGGTGGCGGAAGTCCAGAAGGAAGGGCACACATGTGGGCTCCAGACTGGAAATCAACACAAGCTGTGGGGCAGCCTTTCACGGGACCCACACCATGGTCAAACACGTTGTCATGTGATTTAAAATGTGTCTAAGATCCAGTCAGATCTTCCCCAGACTCTTAACGTGGAAATGCGTCTGAACGAGGGCCCTGGTCCAGGGACTGTGGCCACACTGGCTTGCCTCCCTGATGCCTTCTTGTTTGGCTTGAACCGTGGATGCGACCCGGAGGCCATTCCCCATGAAGTGCGCAGTGCTTTTCTCCTCAGCACCTCCAACTTGAACTTGAAGCCTCTACTCCCACCTTTGCCATTTAGCTTAAGCCCAGATCGAGTTGTGCCTTCTGTGAACCCGATGTTACTGCCTCAGGGAGATCGGTAAGGAGCCCTACTCACCTCCACAGAGCCCCTGCATGAGGACAAATTGGGCCTCCTGCTGACCGTGCCCCTCTGTGTCCAGTCCTGGTTATTTCACATCTTTAAAGCTGGACTCACAGTAACTCAGGGAGAGAAGGTGCCATTTAGCCCAACCCTTCTCCTCGCTTTACATGTGACAAAACTAGACCAGACAGGGCACTTTGCGTATAGCAAAGAGTAAAAATGAGATAAGATACTTTTAAAAGATTGATAACTATGTCAAATGAATAACTAACTTGCACAGGTTACAAAACTTGTTAGAAGCAGCTGTCACTGTCCCTACCCAGGCAGCACTACAATGTCTGATACTTTGGGTGGCTGTGGGATTTGAGTGTCCAGCCTGTGGTCCGTGAAAGGGAGGAGTAAACCACTCCCAGGACCCTCTGCCTCCCCTTTGCTGGTCGGGAGGCTTCTGCTGGAGCCTACTTGCTCCACTGGGAGGGCTTGGTGTTCTGACTAGCTGAACCCTCAGCCTTCGCCAGCTGATCCACTGATACCGCTGCAGCTTTAATCTGCAAATTTCATCACTGGATTTTTCGTATCCCGAGGATTTCAATCTCCTAAGAAAGAGGGGCAAGAACTTCCTGGACACTTTCACTATTTACACTTTCGGAACTGGACGACTCCGGAGCAAGCAAGTGAAGGAACTTGAGCACCTCACAGCAAGGCCAGTGCAGGACCAGGGGGTCCAGGGAACCAGAAAGAGGCCAGTGGTCTGAAGACAGGAAATACCACCCCAAGTTGCAAGCGTGGGAATTCTAGAAGCAAACCAACAAGACTGACCAATTTTAAGCAAAATTCCAGTTGGAATAATATTTAAATGATTAGTGGGGAAATAAAACACTAATTTCTGGGACGAGTCTGGTCACCCCAAGGACTGACCAAATCTCACTGGGACGAGCTATCAGGGTGACAACCTGTCTTCATCTTAGCAATAAAATGGTTCTCATCTTTTCACAATTCTTTGCATAAACAGAAGGAGGAGGAGTGGGAAGGAGGGAGAGGAAGGAGAAGGAAGAAAAGGAGAAGACTCCATAGCTGGCAACTGATGTTCTGGATGTGACAGTAGAGGAGGCTGATGTCACCTGGAAAGCCAGCTCCAAATCATACTGCCCAGTCTAAGTCCCCAAGAATCCTCGGGCCCACGGAGATGCTGGTGGGGCCTGAGAGTAGACCTGGCATTTCAAAAGGCCTGATGGAGCGTGCTTGTGCCCCAGGTTTCAGCTCGGTACAGCAGAAGGGGCCTGGGGCCTGTTCTGTCCCAGATGCATGGGTTGGAGTAGGTCAGAACACCTGTCTGGATGCTTCACTTCTAATAATCTGAAAGTCCTGTTGCCAGAGAACACCTAAAAATGCTGCGTAATAAACCGTGATCCCTGTTAACTGCACAGCTGAGCAGGGGATCAGCGAGACAGCCCAGGGCTGAGCAAGAGGAAGCTGAAACTCAAGCTGCTGCCTGTGGGGACACTTGCCAGGCTCAGGAGCAAAGAAGCTTAGTTTCCTTCCAGCACAAACGAGACACAAGACCTTGGGTCATACAGGGAGAGCCTTAGAAACCAGACTCCCTACACGTGTAGGACCCTCGGGGCTGCTGTGGTTCAGATGAGACTTTTCCCCGGAAGCTTGGTCCCCAGTGTGGCCTTGTTAAGAGCTGGGGAGATCTTGAAGAGGCAGACCATAGCAGGAGGTCACTTGGTCATGGGGACTCTGCCTTCAGACAGATTAAAGGAGTTTGCCCATGGCCTACTTAGTTCTCATGAGAGGGTTGTTGTAAAAGAGTCAGCCAGAGCTGGACATGGTGGTGAGCACCTGTAGGTCCAGCTACCTGGGAGGTTGAGGCAGGAGGATCAGTTGGGCCCAGGATATCAGGACCCACCTGGGAAACATAGCAGCACGCCATCTTAAAAAAAAAAAAAAAAGCAAACCTGACCCTGCCTGGTCTCTGGCTTTCTGTCTTACCATGTGATCGCTCCCTCTCACACACATTGCTACCATGAAGCCATCGACCCTGATGTGATACAGCCAGCTGGGTCCTAACAAGACCTAGCACCCTGATGTTCAGACTTTGAACCTCCAAAATGTTTAAAGCCAAATTAACCGCTTTTATCAATAAAATACCCAGCCTCGAGTATTTAATTATAGCAGTGGAAAACAGACTAATACAGAGGCCATACCCTCGGTGATAGGATTATGTAAGACAAAAAAGTAACAAAAAGAGAAGATAGGGGATGCTTGTTCTCAACTCCTAGGTTCTAAATGATTACGAGAGTCTCCCCAGAGAATCCACATCACACACCCGCCTTTGTTGAGTTTGGAGTTGAATGGACACCAACTATATGGTTTGGGAAACCAAAGACAAGAAATTAGTGGTCTTAGATTCATAGTCTCCCAGGTTCTTGGCAAAAGCAAATGTAAATTCTCTTACAAGCAACATATTCTCAATCCAAGGTATATAGGATTTCTAAGAAAAAGTCTAGTCATGTTGCTGGCATGGTGGCACACACCTGTAATCCCAGTGACTCAGGAGCCTGAGGCAGGAGGATGGTAAGTTTGAGGCCAGCCTCAGCAACTTACAAGACCCTGTCTCAAAATAAAAAATAAAAAGGGTTAGGGATGTAGCCAGGGTTCAATCCCATGTACCAGTGGGGGTGCGGGGTTGGGAGAAGCCAAGTCAATAAAAGATTAGCCTCATTAAGGATTGACACACACCAAATTCCATTTTAAATCCTTTACAGGTACTGTCCCACTTGATCCTCACAACATTCTCTTAATGGTAGGTTTTTGTTTGTTTGTTTGTTTGTTGTTTTGGCTACTGGAAATTTAAGCTAGGGGCACTTTACCACTGAGCTACATCCCCAGCCCTTTTTGTGTTTTGTTTTGAAACAGGGTCTCACTAAGTTGCTTAGCGTGTCTCTCAGTTGCTGAGGCTGGCTTTAAACTTGCAATCCTCCTGTCTCAGCCTCCCAAGCTGCTGGGATTATAGACATGTGCACCATACCCCATAATGATAGGTATTCTTATTCTCATTATTATTGTTGTTAGTATCATTCCTATCCCTGGATTCAGAATGGGAAAGAATGAAGACATGAAGAGAAAAAGAAACTTCCTCAAGAATACACAGCAAACGAAAAGAGGTGAGTTTCAGACCCAGGAAGTCTGGTCCCAGTCTGCTCTCTGAACCCCTAACCTGTGCTGCCTCTCCACCCAGTGCTCCCCAGAGGATCCATCATGGGCTCGAGAACCAGGCACCAGCCAGCAGGGTTTCCAGGGAGTGGAAGGAGTGGGTGCAGCATACAAATTAAGTTTTAAAACATTTAAAATACATTTAAAACATTTAAAATTCAAAACACAAACAAACAAAACACAGAAGAAAAAGAATAAATAAGAAACAAAATCAAAAATTTTTTGGAGGAAGAAATATGACTAAAAATAAAAATTCAATGGATGAGTAAAGCAGAAATGAGCTGGTGGGGTGGGGAGAGTGGGCTGGAGGTGCAGCCAAAGATGTGCAGGGCGAGCCACAGACAGCGACTGGGGGGCGATGGGAAGGTGAGAGGCAGCGGCTAGGATCAGAGGGACCAGCTCACATGCATCTGGCAGGTTCTGCACAAAATAAGAAAATGCAGAAAGCAAAGGAGAATCCACCTGCCAAGGGCCAGGGAGAGTCCTGAGACTCAAGATGCGGTCAAAAGCAAGATCCCAAAGCTGGAGGGACACTGTGGACAGCAACAGGGAGGGGACTTCCCCTTGGTGTGAGGCAGGCAGATGATGTACAGCGGCATCAGCCAGAACATGACGTGATATTGGTTTCAAAACTCTAAATAAAAATCATCGTCAAAGTAGGACTGTACAGGGGCTGGGGATGTGGCTCAAGCGGTAGCGCGCTCGCCTGGCATGCGTGCGGCCCGGGTTCGATCCTCAGCACCACATACAAAGATGTTGTGTCCACCGATAACTAAAAAACAAATATTAAAAAAAAAAGTAGGACTGTACAACTGGTGAAATCATCCCTTGAGAATGACGGGAAATGAAGTTACCTACAGGGAAGTAGAAGCTAAGTGAACTTACCAACAGGTCCTCGGTAGAGGAAGTTCTAAAGGAAGTCTTCAAAGAGAAGAAGGTGGAACCCAGAAGAAAGGCTCCAGATTAGCAAAGAAAGGAAATAGGCCAACAGGCTAAATAAGCTCGGACTAAATGAAGCAACCATAACTCACTTGAGGAGTAATAAAAAGGAACCAAAAAACTGGCTAAAAAATAGCTTAAAATGGGACTAGGTAAT